GAGAGAGAGAGAGAGAGAGAGAGAGAGAGAGAGAGAGAGAGAGAGAGAGAGAGAGGGAACATAGAAAATTACGGCGTGCATACGACGGCCGGTAATTGGCACTGACGATTAATCGAGCTTGGCAACTTCCAGGATACGGAAAGTGTTGAACGCCAGAGCGGAGACAGTAATGGCCGTAATATTAACCGCGGTTAATCCAGTTATGACCTCACTGCCTTCCTCTTCCTTTCCTAGCCTCTTTCCGCCGCGAACGCATGTTAAATGTCGCTCGCCGAGCACCCCCAGGATTTTTTTACGAATATTTAGACAACCAGACAAACAAAATCTAGACTGCATTTCGAAATTCACTGAAATGGTGCTGAAAATCTAGTTTGTCACGTATACTATAGAATTTCAGCACTGGCAGTGAATTTTTGGACGCAGCCTCAGTAGTCATCTGTAAAGCGTGGCTACGCGGGATGTGAACGAACAAAAATGTCATTGCAACTTGATATCAAGCAGAAAATTCGATTCTCAATGTAACAAATCGGATAAATGTATTATGAAATTTCTATTCTCAAGAGTTATTTCATAAAATACTTTATGTTAATAAAAATGCACACGTATAAATTCCTGCGAAATAATGTAAAAATAAAAATCACGCTGATATAAATTAAAGGTTTGAGAGAAAAATTGAAATGAAGCTTGAAGTAATTGGAACAAAATAAAGCTGTTGGAGTCGAATATAAAAAATTCAACTTTGCACGAAGAAGTTAAGAGAAAATCAATAGAGAGATGTACAGTTAAGATACTGTATCATTTACACGCTACACTAGTACTTTACGCTACACTTTCAGGGGAAAATGAAGTATAAGATACTATGATATAATATCTTACGCTACATCTCTCTCCCGTTGCCGGTAATCGCGATTCGCAGTCGGACACATGTGCATTTTATTTCCGGATGACTCATAAACTCACCTCGAGGTATGTCGACGGAATTTCCGTGCGGGCGTGAATGACGTGGGTCGAGTCGGATCTATTCTCGCGCGTCACTAACGTAGCGCCGAGTCTAACGTCGACTTGTCAAGGAAAGTGTCAGTTTAGACATTACGCGTGCTCGGCTTTAAATCCGCCCGGAGGGCCGCGGAGGAAGGGGAACGTGGCAAAATGCTTCGTAAGAACGAGAAAAATGAACATCCTCGTCGCGCGAGGAGACACGTTTACAAAGGAATGTTTTACTCGGTTTACCCTTTACCCTCCGGTTTCCACCGCGGTGGACAATCCCTCCCGGGATGAAAATTCCTCGCGAGCCAAACGCTCCGCGTCTAGCCGTAAAACTAGACCGCAAAAACGAGATCTGATTTCTGTATTGTGTAGCTTGGTCGCGTTGCGTGTTTCGTATCTCGATGGGTCGTTAATTATATTTCGCGAGCGTTGAAACGACGAGGTACCGTAACGAGGTTCCCGCTGCGAATTTAGATACTACACGACCGCTTTTTGGTAGCGTAACGCCGCAGTGTTGCTACGGAACTTCGGAAATCGATCGCAGGATCGAGAGGGGGAGAGAGAGAGAGAGAGAGAGAGAGAGAGAGGAGAGAAAGGAGAGAATGCGAGGACGATAAAAATTTACGAAGTTACCGCGCGATCTTCGTAAAATTATCGAGCTTTTATAAATTATCGAGCGCTTGGGATGGCGGATGCGAAGCTAATGTGATTTGCGTGCGTAATTCAAGTATAGCTAGACGTAAATTATCATCGTGTAAAATAACGACGGGGAAAAGAGGATACATCTTGAGCAACTTCCGCGCGTTCCTCCCGCCGTTGTCGTCGAAGCCGGGCGCAAGGCTCGCTCGAACATCCCTCAGGACTGCGGCTTTGGGTCCCTGAAAGGAACTCGCGTTAAAAGATGTGCTCAGCGTTATCCCGAACAAATTGAGACTACCTATAATGTACACACGTCACTACACACGTCATCCTCGGCGTCCGAGTCGGAAACACACGTTCCTCCCAAGAAGGATTCTTCCGCGTCCATTCCCTCGGCGAGTTGATTGACGTAACGTTCCTGTGGCTCCTGTTTCCGCACCTTCCCCGCCATCAAATCCGATTTCTCCTCCTTCTTATTTTTCCTCTTCTTTTTCTTTTTCTTGGTTGCCGTTAACGAAGGATCCTCTATTTCATTTTTAATATCACGCTCCACTTTTAATCTTTTTCGCTCCAATCGAACGCCCGCGATACTGTCGGAACTTTCGTCGTAGTGATCCCTCTTTTGTACCTTGAAGAATTCCTCGGGGACGTCCGACAACGGCTCTTCCTTGATTTTGCACTTGAATGTCGCGAAACTTGTGGACGGTTCATCATCGGGCAGACTCGTAGTTTTTCTCGTCTTTTCGGGGCTCGGCGACGTCTCCGGCGATCTCTTGATAAGAACATCCTTGATATCCGACGCTCCGAGCAGAAGGCTGAAGTCCATCGACTCGGGCTTCTTTAAAAACAGCTCGCGCAGCTCATTCAACGTCGTCGCCGTCGACCAGTTCTTGTCGCGACGGATTCGCGTCACTCGCGGGAATCGGATGCTGATGCCATCGGCGGTGTGCACCCCTTGGTTCGTGAACTCGGCGCCCGTTATCTCCCATACCGGCTGTTTCTACTTCGCCAGAATATGTGGAGAAAAAAAGATTTCAGTTCGGATAACTGAACGGAAACCAGACGAAAAATAAAATCTCCACTGAGAGAAAAGACTGGTAATTATAACAAACTGCATTTAGTTATAGAAATTCGTTGAAACCTTAGTATCTAATACTAAATATTATAATAATTACCAAATATTTAATAGATCGGGAGTATGACATACGGCCAAAATAAAGCGGGCAAAAGCTATGGCAATACTTATTAATTAATTTAGTTCTGTAATTGCATTCACAGTAAATTAAATAATTTAATTAAATTAATTAAATAATTTAATTCAATTAAATAATTTAATAATAGTTACTTAATGTTAAATATTTAATATGAAATATATTAAAAATTGACGTAATTATTTGTGATTTCATATACGACAATTGATTGATTTTGGTTACTGACTTGTCGATTATTTAGTCGAGGAAAATTTTGATCGATTATGTCCAACATCGCGGTACGATTTCTCAGCAATTGCTTCGAATACCGAGTGAATAATACTATGATGATTCTTCGATAATCTCATTCTTAATTCCGGGTTATCGCCGTGGACAACGAGACGTCTAGCTCGAAATCACTGGATCCCTACATGCACTTAATTAGATAATTGAAACGAGGAAGGAAGCGAAGAGTACATTCTTTTGACGTCTGCATCGGGGCCGAATCGAATTTCTGCCTGAGAAATGACGTCTCTCCAATTACGAGTCTCGATGGAATACTGTTTATAAGGGATAGTGCCGCGTTGCGTACACTGAGAAAAAAGACTGGTAATTATAACAAACTGCACTTAGTTATAGAAATTTGTTGAATCCTTAGTATCTAATACTAAATATTATAATAATTACCAAATATTTAATAGATCGGGAGTATGACGTAATTGCATTCACAGTAACATCAATTAAGTAATTTAATAATAGTTACTTAATGTTAAATATTTAATATGAAATATATTACAGTTATGAACAGATATTTGATAATTGTTATGAAATTGTTATATCCCATATAATAAAAGATTCAGTAGATACGAGTTCTATTTTGTTACTAGTATAAGTATGTTTTGTTGCAGCACAACGAAAAATTCATTCATTTGCAGTTATTACATCGTTTCAATATCTATTATTACAGATGGTTGGTTGAACCTACCAAAAATTTTGTAACTATTACAAAATTGCTTATTTTGCTCAACTATTCAATAAGTTTTATTTACCAAATATATTCTGGAAGCAAATAAATTTTACTTCTGTCAAATAAATAATTTATTTTACAGAACTAAATTAATTAATAAGTATTGCCATAGCTTTGGCCCGCTATATTTACGTCTACCATTTAGTAATAGTAATCAAATTTTAGTAATATTTACTAAATCCTTCTCTCAGTATCCGACGAAAAGTGATATCTCTGTTACTGTGAATAAAAACACTTGTCTGTTGAAGACATTACTTAATCAAATTCAATTTTCATGTTTATTCTATTTCAAAATCTACGTCTTCTTAAATAAATCTAATATTCATGTTCTTGAAGTCGAGTATCGTCTCTTGGCCGTATGTCTTTCCGACTCGACTGTCAAATGGAAAGTAAGATCATTGAAAGTAAAGCTGGTGGCACATAGAAAAACTTAAGCAGTAAGACATAAGCAGTAAGCGAATCAACCAATCACAGTCGTTGATTCTTGGACCGTAAGAAGAATCAACGACTGTGATTAGTCAATTTGCTTATTGCTTACGTCTTACTGCTTAAGTTTTTCTGTGGGCCACGGCCCTAAGATCATTTGAATCAAATGTCTCGCGCACTCGTTAATCACGCGCGCCATCTTTCGCTCGTCAACATAATTTTAAGGGAGCAATGAACAACACAGCTTAAGGTGCAAATTCGTGTAGCGAATAAATCGCTGCGATTGAAAGTTACGTGGTCATTCGCTGTTCGCTAGCAAATAATCGCTGTTCACTGAAATTTTTTAGCTTTTAGCGAATATTCGCTAAGATAATCACTGTTGACATCTGAACAATATCTATGGGTTCTTTAATGTAATAATGTTTAAATATATCTGCTCCAACTATAAATATTAAATTTTCAAATTGACTTGCAGATATGCGTATATAAATATGAAATCTTAAGTCTTCTAGAAAAAGTTTAGGTAGCACAGCATGAAAAAATCCATGCCCTTTTCTATCTTGAAAAATAGATGCTACCCAATATTTTTTTCTCGAGTATCTTCTTTTCTTATGTAAAAGTATAGCCATAACTGCAGCTGCTTTCCTTTTTCGGATATTTTCATAATAATTCATTATTTGCACATAATTTAATAATGTTTGGTTATGCCAAATCAAATCAAATGAATAATTGAAATGAATAATCAAATGAATAATTGAAATGAATAATCAAATAAATAATTAAATTTTCCTCTATGTTGTTAACACGCAACATATGACGCTCATAAGTTATTCGTGGCGAAAAATTTTGTATGAAAAGGTACCTTTACGGTTCGAGCGGGGAGCGAGCGGGCCCGATGAATTAAACGTGTACTTTCGTGTTTTGCTTTCGTTTTCTTTCTTTTCCCTTTTACGCTCATAAAAGACGGACATATAAATGAAGCAAGAGACGCAATCCTCAATTTTAAGAAATCATAGACCAACCTCGAACCTTGTAAGTAGCTAAAAAGAATCTAAGACAAGCTTAGGCAGTGATTTGCGATCACTATAAGTAGTCCGATGATTATCTCGGACGTTGTTATCAACGATTCGATCTTGGTAACTGTATGAATGTCTTAACCCTTTCGTGCCTCTGAGACATATATGTGAAATCACTACAAAAATCATTATAACTTTTAAACAAATAGTCCTATCGACTTCTACCTTAACTTGTTTTAAAGATGAAGGTTCAAGCTACATGTGCAAACTACCACACACTTTGAAATATTATGTTTTCAATAAAATATAGTTATTTAAACTTTGCTAAAAACTCAACTTTAGGTAGTGAAGAATAACTTTTTATTATGTCGAAAATTCATTGAATTAATGCTAATTATATTTAAAGCCTGACAGCAGTACATGACAGCCTTATCAATTAGAAAGATCTTGAGTTCTCACTCGTACTATTGTATACTATAGCGGTCGTTTTTTCGCAACTCTAGCGGATACATTTGCATACAATGTACTCAAAAGTTCCTTATAATAGTTATCCAAAATATATTATCTTGATTCGAAATATTTTTACTTCGAATTATAATTAATATTCAGAAAAAAAAACATAATTCAAACTTTTATTTTGAATATATCGATATTTCAGTATTTCATAACCATCATCTTAAATCCGCCATTTTGAATTTCAATTTTGATAATTGACTTCAAATCAGCGCCTCCAAAAACCTATAGATCATCTCCATATAAAACGCATCTCTCCTGGGAAAGCCGGAGGTACGAAAGGGTTAAGCGACATTTCATATCCTAAATGCGTTGCCTGACGATAAGGCTCAGGCAGCGTCTCGCAAACGCCAATAAAGAATTAAAATCTATTAAATCTATTCAGCAACATAGGATTGCTAAATATGTAGCAGAAGGCTGCATTAAGAATAACATAAAGGCTAGTTTGTGAGCGGCATAAAGCCGTTTAATATTCTATTTTTCGTTAATTTAGTTATATTTTGTTTAATGTTTAATATATTTAATTTTATTTCCTTCATTTTTTGTAAATTATTATTGAATTATCATTTTAGTTATATTTTCATTTTAATGTGTAATTTCTTCTCTTTCAATTATATTAAAAATTTACTCTTGAAAAATAAAAAAAGGTACAATACTTCATCTTCAAAGCGTTTTTATGCTTATTGGATTTTATGTATTCAAACAACACTTGAACATGGAGCTGCATCAGAACTCAGCTGTGGTAATTGACAACGTATGAATGAGTAGAAACCTCTCCTGAATCTCCTCGGGAATCTTTCCATTCCTACAATATGAGTTTTTCATCTGCTCTCCAAGTAGGAGAAAATTCAGTTACACTAATTGAATTGTTTTTTCCGTGTATCAGTTAACGGCACACGCTGCGTTGGTAGCCGCGTATATTCGCAGTTAATAATCCAGTTAGTACGAATATAAACGCGAGTTATAAAGGAAAGAAAAAAAATAGAAAACGGATATTGCGTGCGCTCACAAAAGTACAATAGTATTTACACTATAAATAGTATACACAAAAACGAAGAAAGAGAGACGTAAACATGGAGAAATTTAACTCAGTGAAAAAGATAAATATTAGCAAAAACATTAAATCGCCCATTATTCCCCGAATAATTTGCTTTAATACTAAGTGTTAGACAGTTAAGATAAGAATACTAATGGACATGTGTCTAATCCTGGACATTCTTATCGTTTCAGTGAATATACGAATATTTAAACTCTTTTAACATACAATATATGTATATATTCAATATACATATGTATATATTTTTACGTTGGAAATTTAAATATTCGTATTTAAGGCTCCTGACTCTTCATGTTGTTTACTTCGTTTTTATGACGTCAAAAAAATGAGAAAATGTATTCTAAAAATTCCTGCGAAATACGTTGAAATAAAAATATATATCCATAAAGTAACACTTGTAATCGATTAAACAAATTTGTAAGATATTCCGCGCACTCCCCTTTTTCTCTAACAATCAATAATTTGTCGTAAATTAACGTGACATACAATTCATCTTCTTAACCTATTTCTTCGCCTGTTTCTATTTATATAATATATGATAATCCTCATATAATTATATAAAGAAATTATATTTAAATTTTTACTTAGTCACACACATCGTCAAAAGAGAAACTGAATGTAAGTTTAAGATTGTTTTTTATAATTGTCATCATTTGCCCCACACTGGGGCAAATGGTGACAAAATGCAGATTTTAGTTTCTATGAAAATCTAGTTATTCCATATGACTTATGGGTCTTGTACTTAAGTTTTTCGTATAATTTAAAATGCAAAGTATCGTTTTAGTAAAACATCCGATCTCGACAACTTGAAAATAGCTTACACGAGGGAGAAAAAATCCGTCACTGTTTGCCCTACTTTCCTTTACGTGGTTGGGAATTGGTACTTTACCTTACAGTTCGTTGTGTTGAAATCGAACATTGAGAGGATCACAACAAGATTGCTCATTATTAAAATGATTTCATCCATAATAAGATTTTTATCCCAAAAATAAAACATTAAACTTTATAGAATAAGTTAATTCGGTTAAAGCTCTGCTATTTCTAGGGCGACCATATTGGTTTGATGATGTCAGAAGCGAGAAATGACATACCGAAAATTAGTTGTGTTTTATTGCTTTGTTTTTTACTTTTCCCTGAAGAACCAAATATTTTCCTAATCCTGAAACCTATAAAAAGTACAGCAAACTCAGATATCTGGCTGATATATCACGTAGCATCGTAAAATAATTCCTGAAATAATGCTACATTTTTCGGCTGTCACAGTGGCTTGTAACAGCTCAGCATGTATGAACACATTTAATTTCTCGACTTTCGACAATGTATCACCAGTATCATTGAGTTTTCTGTACATTTTACAGCTGTGAGGCTCACGATAATATACACACTTCATGGAGAAACTGCAAAATAATGCAACAAAATGCAACTAATTTTCCGAGGTTTAAGCGAGGCTTAGTGTTAGCCAGTCAGCTACGCTGACACGGTTATTTCGTGTTCTCGACACTGCTAGACGTCAATTCAGACTTTCTGCGGCGAGATAGCAGAGCGAGTTAATTAGCGAGTTCGTTACCTTGGGATCCCTCGCTACAAAGTCCGGTACCATAGGCTTCTTCGCCAGCAGCCAACTCGGCAATTTTTCCGTGTCCTTGCCTATCTTTACCATGTCGAGCTCGTCCTGGAGCGCGGCCAGCGTGGCGTCGTCGTGTCCCGTGTGGACCTACCGCAAATGACGAGCGTAACGTAATATCTTTGCCCCGCAAATCAATTTGGCGTGACTGTTATATTTACTTTCGTAACGGTCAACCACTTATCGCGCTTCTCGTCGTAGCATCCCATTAGAAAGACTGACAGCATGCCACCTGCGAAGATCAAGATTCGAAAGACGAATCTTCGAAAAATCACGAGAGACTCCTGGAAATCGTAAGACTGACGCGCAAATAATGATTTTCCATTAAAAAAACAAAAGCAAGACGATATCATATAATAATAAATATTCGACTAAAGACACGGAGAAATTTCTTAGTCGAGGAAAGAATGAAAAATAAGATGAAAAAAATTAAAAATAAGATGAAACGAAATTGAGAGCGAATCTTTCTTTGATAAAAGGAACTGTGAGATCTTTTTTTGAAAGGAGATATGTTAAAAACGACGGCGACTTATCTCGACTGATAAGAACTATTGCGAGATTTCTCGCCTTCGACGAGTTTATTTGACAGACGCGATAAACCTTTGCGTCAACCCGATAAAATGTCGCGGATGGTACGGACCTTTGTTGCCTGTGCCGTACCATGCTCCAAGCACGACGAGATCTGCGCTATCGGCCATCGCGCCGCCGCATAAATAGTCCTTTTTTACCTTCAGCCAATGTCGTTTCCCAGGCTCATACTTGCTCTGCAAAAACAAAATAGACATCACCGCAGGACTCAGAAGGACAAGACATCCCGTAAGAAAAGTTGAGAGAATGCGCGATATAAAAATTTTTAAATAAAATTGTAATCACCAAAAATTGTTAAAAATCATAGCGTTTGTTCGTAATCCTGCAATTATTTATTATTATTTCTGAATGTCAGATTATCATTAAATGCCAAGTTATAGTCGTTTATATGACACTCGAGCGTAAATCGATACGTACATTGATGTCTTTCAGGACCAAACCCTCGAGACCCAGTTTCAGCACTTTAATGATCATCTTCGCGAGATCCTGCGGATCCTGAAAGACAAATCGTTATCCGCCATACGGTAGCGTCTAAATATGAATTACTAAATAGCTTCTTTTTCTTTACATGCACTTCGTGGACTTCCGACAGCATTATTCTGTTCGGTATCTCGGTCATCCTGTCCTTCAGAATTCTTCTGCGCTCCGACATGGGTCTAAGTGAATACGAAAAAAGATTAGTCGAGTTGTTAAGCTTGGATATAAAAAATCACCATTTATTACATTTGAATATTTCATATATATTTAAATCTCAAAGGTATCGTTGGAAAGTATCTTTGAATACTCGATGTTTACTTATTCATCAATATATCGCCGTTGTAGTACAGGCAATCGAACACGAACAGGCACACGTTGGCGTTCTGGAACTCGGCTTTCTGCAAACCAGCTCGATCAAATATTCAATCATCGTCGTCGTCGCACGACTCGCTTACCGCTCTTTTACCTTATGAATTCCTAAAGTGCCGAAAGGCAACGGTTGCCCGGTCTCATTGTCAACCATGAGGATCTCGGAATCGAGGATCAGATCGTCACCGTCTGGGAACGCTCGCGCTATGTAATCCTTGAAGAGATTCACCTGAAAAATTAATTATTCTAGCGCCGCTTGCACGGAGGCAGCCTCAGAAAAGCCAAGTTCGACGTTGAATCGAACCGTGAGTCGCTATTCGCGCTTCGTTCTCCGCCGAATTCGACGCGTGACCGTCTACCTTGTGCGGCATGACCGGCTTGAGGGATCTGCTGAAGTAACGAAACTCGTTGCCGCTCTTGTGCACCTGCACGCGTTCGCCGTCGTATTTCACCTCCGACAACATCCCGTTCGGGCACTTTCGCATCGCCATTTCCACGGACGTACAGGCTTCCGCCTAATCACATTAATCAATGGTTGACGACAAGTGTAGAATTATTCGGTAATTGAATGATTCATCCCTCAACAAGAAATTATAATTTGAAAAATATTTTATATTAATATAAGTAAATATGTCATTTTTCAGTTTCTATTGAATAAATATTTATTATTTCTTAGATATATTTTTTTCAGCATGATCTAAATGCACAAAATGTTGTTACAACTATTGCAATATTCGTGAGTCTAATTGGTATACCAACATATTTGCTTAAATCTATTACTTTACTAATTCTTTTACTTAAATAGAATAAACAATTGCTTTTATGAAGAGTCAAGGTTTTTTAAAAGTGTTTTAAGAAAATGTGTGTTTTCTTATTTGAAACAATTGTTTTTATGAAGAGTCGAGATCTTTTAAAAGTGTTTTAAGAAAATGTGTTTTCTTATTTGAAAAATATTTTATATTAGCATATGTAAATAATACCCACTAAATAAATGTTTCCTATTTCTTAAATATATATTTTTTTCCCAGTGTAGCATCCTGTTTTTACTAGATTAATTAATATTTTGCGTAATTTTGTAAAAGTAACGGACTGTCTTGTCAATTATTTGTATTTTCATCCGTTTTATTTTTGCAGTGATTACCCTGGTAGAAATTTCACGCAATTTTTAAGCAGTTACTGAACAGTTATATTAACGTTTGTCCAGTAACTGACAAATAAAACTGTTGGGATCCCAATCAAGATGTAACGCTTTGTCTGTAGTTACTGTGCACAAAAAATGCGCAATATCTGAACTCATTTATTGACCGAGAACTGAGCAATAATTGGATAAAGAAACTATTCAGTCGATTAATAAGCAAGTTTATTGCTCACAAAATGGACAGTTTTGTACTAGTAATAATGGATATTGTGTGCATGCTTGCGTATTGTACAATTTTAATTTGTAATAAAAGTCAGTACAGTCATAGACATAAAGAATATCTGATTTTTTGTAATAGTTTCAGAATATAACCAAATAGTCCAATATAAGAAACGTATTTTTTAGGTACTATTCTCTCATTGAATAATTTTTAGGTTACATTGCCAATAAAAAGTCGAACAACCTTTATGTCCACAATAGTACAGGAAATCTAAGGTGCGTTTCTAAGATAGTCTAATGTGTTTTTGTCGCAATGCAATTCTATATCATTAATATACAGCCCATTTGTCGTTTGCTCACTTTCAACTCTAACTTTACTTATCACTTCTGCCATAACGTGTTGTTTTGTTAAATTACAGATTTCCTCCAACTTCCTCTTCCTTGCTGTATGTTTTGCTACGCGTTCACTTATTCTTTATTTAGTTTTAAGATCGTCTTCATACAATATAATTTTTATCATGCACATGTATATGCGATATAAAACTTAAAAAAACTATGTTCAGTTCCTTTTCAGTTTTTGCGCAGTTTCGATACAACTAATGCAGTAATACTAAACAGTAACTGATTAGGTATCTAGTAAAACTGCATATATTTCTACTAGGGTAGTTCGTTGCTTGTTTTTGATCGCATTTTACTCTTAAATAAAGATTAAGAATACACAAAAATCAGGTTCACGAATTTTACAACAGTTGCAAAGCAACTCTTTCTCTCTGCTAAACGCAGTCATTATTGTCATGATGTAATAAATATGCTGTAAATGATCAGAATAACGATGTACCAGCATTGGTAAGACGGGCGTCATCAGCGAAAGGCCCACTTTATTCCGACTCGGAGGGGATGAGGCAGCCGGCTTTTCCGTTAAATCGACCAAGAAACGTCGTATCACCGTTTCCAAATCACGTGACATTTGAAAGGCTTTGTACGCGTCCTCGTGGACTGCCTCAAGACTAAAAACGTATACACGTACGAGCGTTATATTGTCACCGTTGATGCGATCGACAGAAGCAAGCAAGGATCAAAGATACTGAGGTGCTGAACACTCACATGTGCTTCGGACCGGCATTGATCCTCAGATCGTGCTTGATCAATCGTATGATCATCTTGAGGTCGTTGGCGGTGCATCTAAAATAATGGCAATAAATCGAAACGTGCGAATCACATGAAGATGCGAATAATAAGACGGAGTAAGTCGCAATTAATTAATCGTGACCGACTTACTTATCGATGACAGATCGGAAGTGTTGAATCTGTTCCTCTTCCTTGGTTAAGTACGACAATCTTTCCAGGAAGAGATCAACCTGCTCATAAAGCGACGGTTTTCATTAGCAAGAGCGGGAGGAGGTCTCTCCTGCCGGTCCATTTTTTCTTTATTTTTCAAGAAAACCAACGCGTATACATTGTATCCACAGTTCGGGTGACTACATTGAGAGAAAAAGTATCTAAAAGTAATAAATATTTCTTTAGTGGATACTAATAATACATATTTGCTTAAATCTAAATTCTTTTACTTAAATAAAATAAACAATTGCTTTTATAAAGAGTCAAGATTTTTTTAAAGTGTTTTAAGAAAACGTGTGTTTTCTTATTTGAAAAATATTTTATATTAGAATATATAAATAGTACCCACCAAATAAATATTTTCTATTTCTTAGATATATTTTTTCTGCCAGTGTAGCATCCTGTTTTTACTAGACTAATTAATATTTTGCGTAATTTTGTAAAAGTAACGGACTGTCTTGCCAATTATTTGTATTTACACCCGTTTTATTTTTGCATTAATTAGTTCGTTGCTTGTTTGACCGCATTTTACTTGATTTAACCGAATCTCACTAAAGCGACTTACGTCTTGAATCGTCAACATGCTCTTGGCGCAAGGCGACACGGCGACGCTGTTCTCGAAGAACACGCTGATCGTCTCAGCCACGTCGCCCTGCTCCAGATGTTCCAACATCGAGTTCTCGTCCTGAAGTAACAATCGCGCGAACAGCTTTATCAGCTGCTTGCTTTGCAGATTATAAATTCTCTTCACGGCGCCGGGTAGCAACAGTTTGCACCAGAGTACGACGTCGCCCTTAAAACCGTCTGGGGAAGAGATGAAGTAAAGAAGAAAAAAAAGAATCGGTCATTTTTTCCAAGCGGCTTTAAAGCGACTCAAAAAAGAAACAATTGACCGCGCCGCATTAACGTCAAAACTGACTCGTAGAATTCGACATTTATTTATCCATTTATTTGTTTACTCATCTGTCGACGAAATCACAATTTATGCCGACATATTCGCACAAGGACAGAGGAATATTTCTTTTTTATATTTTTATTTTTTACATGTAAATTTTAGAATGTGTGAGGTCACATAACGAAGATAAGTTGCTTACATCAATATATTTCATATGTGTGTGATCCAGAAAATAAAGAAAAATATATTCTTATTATTCAGAAATATAATTTTTACAAAATCGCACAGACGAAGTTATATATTTATATAATGAAACGTTATTACATTTATTTACAATTCAATTAGTGAATTACATGAAATAATATTAGTGAATATCATACAATTCACTAATTGAATTGTAAATAAATGTAATAACGGTTTCATCATATAAATATACAGGGTGGGCCAAAATTGTGGAAACAGTCGAATATTTCGAAAAAATAGCATTTTTTAAGAAAATGTTCCAGATAAAAGTTATAGGATTTCAGAAGATCTATTTAATGGCCGTATCAGTTTTGACCTTAGGTGACGCCGCTAAGATCAGGTCGAGGTTAACTTTATTTTCTTAAACATGTATTTTTTTTATTACGAAATTTTATTCTACGTAAAGAAACAAACAACTTTTGTTTGAAAAACTTTTTCATACGATCTCTATTTTCTAAAATATTTACGGAAATATCTACAAAATTAGTTTCAATAATTTTTTACTCAAATTCTATCAATTTTGCCGAAAAATAGCAAGAGATAAAAATTATTTATTTTCTTCTCATAGAGCTCTGAGAATTTTTTCAAAATTTTGTATAAACTTTTTAGTACTTTAAGAAAATGCAAAAAATACAGTACTAAAAAGTTAATTAGAAAATTGTGAAAAAATTCTCAGAGCTCTATGAGAAGAAAATAGATAATTTTCATCTCTTGTTATTTTTCGCTAAAGTTGATAGAATTCGCATAAAAAATTATTGAAACCCATAATTTTGTAGATATTTCCGTAAATATCTTAGAAAATAGAGATCGTATAAAAAAGTTTTTCAAACAAAAGTTGTTTGTTTCTTTATATAGAATGTATGTGTATTCTGGTCGTGGAGCAAGTTGGCCACTTTACGTAGAATAAAATTCCGTAATAAAAAATACATTTCTATTTAAAAAAGCAAAGTTGACCTCGACCTGACCTTGGCGGCGCCACCCAAGGACAAAATTGATACGGTCATTAAATAGATCTTCTGAAACCCTATAACTTTTGTCTGAAACATTTTCCTTAAAAATGCTTTGTTTGAGATATTCTTATTATAGCCTTTTTTGTATTGTTTTATTATAAATTTGAAGAGCCTTTAATTTCTTGAATATAATTTTTACGAATAGGAAATACAAAATGTTGGATTGAGAATGATGTTTCTAAATGTCAAAGGCAGATATCACTGTCGAAATAATTATATTGTACTTCCTTTCTAGGAGACTATTATAATGTTTAAATAACAATTATAACATTTTTTGTTGAAATTTTCAAGACTTAAAAATTCTTCTAATCAAACAAAAGTCATCTTCTAAACAAAATCGCATATTGCTTACATATGACAGCAATGACTATTAATTTGAGTATCAGTTTCAAATTGATACTAATATTTTTTCTGTGCATTGTAACGATATCCGGCGATGGGGAAATTGGAGCAAGATTTATGCGCGGCAGATCGAAATTTGCGACGAGGGTGCGAGGAAACCTTTCATCGCCCCCGACTCGAAACCGACGCGTTTCGCGATTGAGTTTGCACGGACGACGTTTCAGCGCGCCTACATACCGCACAATTTAACGTACGACGCACGTATATACACCCAATCTCCCTCTCGCGTAGATTCCACGTCTAGATACACGCGTCCAGTCCAGGGACGCGTGCTTATTTATTAAACATCGAATAAATCTGCCAACATAGCTCTTCTCCCCCTCACACTTAAGAGCGCTTTAATCGTGTCACCCGAGAGAAAAACAAAAACGATAAGAATTACGTAAATGTATCGAATTGAATTCCGACGGGTTCCCCTCAACGGCAACGACATATTCGTTCCGTCTACATTGGTAATTACGTTCCGCGCGGTAACGACATGATTGATTGTGCATTTAAACGGGTGCTTGCGCATTAATTAGCTTCTACAGTGGAGATTTAAAATGATTGCGCAATTGCCCCTAGGACGGGGATTTATTTATTTTTTAATAAGAACGACACATACAGTGCTTATTCTTTTCTACTTATTGCCGTTACCTTTCTGCAAAATTTTAAAAGAACACAAAAAATAATTCTAATTTTTATTTATATTCGCTAGTATTGAGAGAACAATATCTGAAAAATAGTAAATATTTCTTTGGTGCACGGAGAAAAAAATAATTTGCTAGCCCAGCAAATTTTCTGCTAGTTTAGCAAAATCATTTCGTTTTTATATGGACAGCAAAAAGATTTACTAAGAGTATTAATCACTATTTGCTGGATATAATTTGCTGAATCTACAAATTAGTTTGCTGTAAGAACCATAATGGATTTATATAAGAAGTTGCAGTTTTGCTCCGATAGCAAATAAATTTGCTAAAGATATATTATTTTGCATCGATAGCAAATTAACGCGATTCTTAGGAAAAATGCACTCAACAAATTTTTTCTATCCTGGTAACGAAACTACTTCTGCTCTGATAACGAATAATTTGTAAAATTAGTTACGTCAACTAAATTTTTTTTATTTCACTACGAATATGCAGTAGCAACGACGATTTTGCTAAAAGAGTAAAATTATTTTTCTCCGTGTGTTTCTCAAATGTCCCTTCTCTCAGTGATTAAAAAGAGAAAAGTCTAAGTAAATCAAAGGGGATTTAATATTTTTTACCACAAATCTTTCCCGAGCATATCACGTTTTTAAGGGGTTTAATCTCCGTTTTCACACAAATTCGACAATTTCTTCACGGGGCGGCGGCGGCAGTGGCGCGCGAAGAATTTCGCGCAAATTGCGTTCGAGATCCTCATCATTATCATCATCGGCGAAAATAGAGCGGCTCGGCGAGATTTGAGCACAAAGTATGCGGCTTTTAAACCGCACACGTGCTCACGATTCCAAGATCCATTACCGCCGACAATCGATGTTGATTCGACCGGCCGTCGCGCGACAAACCGATCTCTCTTTCTCTCTCTTTGCTTCTCTCTTCGAGGCCTTTGAGAGCGCGCGTTTGTTCGCGCATGCCGTCGTATACACGCGAATGATTTTCAACACGGATCGCGGACACGCATACGCACAAGACGATTCTCTGTCTCGATCGAAACGGGACGAGATGATCCACGACCGCGCGTGATTCGTAAATAATGGCGGCCAAGAATAGAGTGTGCCGGCAGCGCGCACACACACAGATGCACGCATACACGGAATCCGAGTCGCGACAGCCCCGTTTTCCTCGCATTCACCCCCTTCGCGCCCCCAGCCGCGACTTCTTTGATCACTCCTCGTGAAAAAAAATATCTCGCCTTGCGACGCGCGTCGCAAAAAAGCGACGATTACGAGCATTCGGGCGCCGCGTGGTCCCGCGACCCGACACCATCGTCATTATGGCAATCATCGGCTCGGACACACGAATATCGCGTTTCCACATGATACTCACAGCCGCCCTCTCTCACTCGTTCCCAAATGATTTTTATGTCGCGACTATTGCGTCAGGTCGCGACGTCGCGCGGCTTCGCCGAGCGGAAGATGACTCCCGCTCCATCGGACGATTTCACCCTGGGGGTCGGTTGTGTATCTCGAAACAGAGTGGAAATTACAAAAGTGAGCAAATTCATTAAACATTGACCAATAAAGTTACAAATATTCTAGTAAATTTGCTCACTTTTGTCACTTTCACTCCGTTTTGAGATATACAATCGACCTCCTGGACCATTCTTTCCCGCTACACTGAGAGAAGGATTTAGTAAATATTACTAAAATTTGATTACTATTACTAAATGGTAGACGTAAATATAGCGGGCCAAAGCTATGGCAATACTTATTAATTAATTTAGTTCTGTAAAATAAATTATTCATTTGACAGAAGTAAAATTTATTTGCTTCCAGAATATATTTGGTAAATAAAACTTATTGAATAGTTGAGCAAAATAAGCGATTTTGTAATAGTTACAAAATTTTTGGTAGGTTCAACCAACCATCTATAATAATAGATATTGAAACGATGTAATAACTGCAGATGAATGAATTTTTCGTTGTGCTGCAACAAAACATACTTATACTAGTAACAAAATAGAACTCGTACCTACTGAATCTTTTATTATATGGGATATAACAATTTCATAACAATTATCAAATATCTGTTCATAACTGTAATATATTTCATATTAAATATTTAACATTAAGTAACTATTATTAAATTATTTAATTGATGTTACTGTGAATGCAATTACGTCATACTCCCGATCTATTAAATATTTGGTAATTATTATAATATTTAGTATTAGATACTAAGGATTCAACGAATTTTTATAACTAAATGCAGTTTGTTATAATTACCAGTCTTTTCTCTCAGTGTACGCAACGCGGCACTATCCCTTATAAACAATATTCCATCGAGACTCGTAATTGGAGAGACGTCATTTCTCAGACAGAAATTCGATTCGGCCCCGATGCAGACGTCAAAAGAATGTACCCTTCGCTTCCTTCCTCGTTTCAATTATCTAATTAAGTGCATGGAGGGATCCAGTGATTTCGAGCTAGATGTCTCGTTGTCCACGGCGATAACCCGGAATTAAGAATGAGATTATCGAAAAATCATCATAGTATTATTCACTCGGTATTTGAAGCAATTGCTGAGAAATCGCACCGCGATGTTGGACATAATCGATCAAAATTTTCC